AAAGGGAAGAATTTCCTACAAAACTTTTCAGGTTGTTACGTAATTTTCCCTTCCCATCTATAGTATTTGCAATTTAAATAAGGCTCTATGCAATGTCCTTTGAATTCCCCTGGTATTATTCCCAGTAAGTTCTAAAAATCTTCTGTCTTTTGGAAATTGTCCGGCACAGCTTCACCCGTTCACACATATGGGCGCAAACGCCGTAACCAGCTGCAGCTCTGGGCCAACAGTCTCCCGTTCTTGCTCAGCTCTATCCTTATGCCAGAGACAGCCACAGTTACACGGACCCACAGTTAGTGTGAACTGGCAAAGCGCTGTGCTGAATTACATCACATACAGATTTGGCTTCTTGGGGTTAAAAAACAGGGCTGTGTTTTCCCCTGGTGCGGCGTATTCAAACGGCATAGTGTTAGTGTGCTCCAGCTTGCCCTGCAGAGAAGCAAGCTTCCCAAGCAGGATCCTCATTCTGCACGAAGGTGAGGATGCTGATTTGTACTTTCCACCCACCCTGAATCTATGGTTATAATCTTTTTCTCCAGCTACCACTCATGTGACAGTGATGAAAGGAGACATTCGAGACTACAATCTGCTCCTTGCTGCCATGCGGGGAGTTCACGTGGTTATTCACACAGCTGCTATTGTGGACAGCAAAAACACTGTGCCCTTTTGGGAAATGAGAGCTGTCAACGTTGGGGGTAAGCTCTTTAAAACAAGCAATTAAATACAGCCTTAAATTCACACGTGTTGGTGTAGTCATACAAGAGGCTGCAACAAACATATCCTCTCTGATTTAGCGCTCCCTTGTCCCCTGGATTTCACACACACCACTCTGCTACAAGACGAGAGAGGTGCCCGCGACCTTTCCTACCCAGCGGGGAAGTTTCTGCCTTTGCCCCGCTGTCCTTGCTCAGGGCAGACCATGCTGCTCCTCTCCACTGCCAAAGCTTCAGCTTGGGAAGTCAAGTCTGGACCCAGTTATTACACAGTTATTCTGGTCAAGGGTATAACTTTCAGTAATAGTACTGAGGTGATTCAGAACACGCCTCTATAGTGGTAAGAAACTGTTTAGCACGTGAGAAGGACAGCAATTAAAAGTCAACTCCTATTCTAGATAGCTTATAGCTTTCCCAGGGAGAAAAATCTACCCTATATACCAGTGCAAGACTATACCAGTCAAACTGCATCCACGCTATTAAGGGGGTGATGTTATTTTAATTATAGTCAGAGTTCACAGCTATTACATATCTACAAGCCACGCGTAACTGAGAGCTCCACGACACTCTCTTCCTATCACCAAGAGCCGATTTCATGTTAGGTGCAAGATCTGCTTAAAGAAAATTTGTTCATAAATCTAGGAAATAAGCACAGGCTATAAAAATAATGAAATCCCTATTACAGCAGCAATTCCAATGGCACCTCAGGCTGTTAGCTACTAAAATAGTTGTTAACCACAAGGAAGGAATTTTATATATATTATATATATATATCTCAAACTCGATTACCGCTTAGGGCTCCTACTATTTGCTGATGCATTCAAGGGCAACATTTAAATTCCATCCTTCTTTTCATTGCTGTAGTTGTTTTCAAAACCAGATGCTTTTAAGAGCCTGCACTGTGCATGTGTACTGAGAATATTCAGAGCCCGAGGGTTCCCGCTGCCTTTTAGTGGCTTTGTGAGATCTTCCTCTGCATTGTCTGTCTGCTATGAGCAAGGTACTTCAGCGCAGTGGGGTCTGTACAGATAGCAGTGAACATTGGGCAACTCCCCTATTCAGCAAATCTTGCAGATGTTTGCGACATTCCCAGAAAACCACACAGGCAAAGTTTTTTCCAGTGTGACTGGTGACGGAGTGCCTCTTTGAGGAGCGCAGTTTGAGATGTCTTAATGGGAGTCTTATTGTCAGAGACAAACCCTTCTCCATTTCTGCCTCCCCTTGGATGGCTTCACGTAGACCTCCCTAACATGAGGCTGCTGCCCTCACTGGGACTTCTCAAAATCTTTAATTGAGAGATTAGTCTGAAGTTTTCTTCTAAAATCATACCAGGTAAAAGAATGAAAAGGAACTGTATCTGATACCTGCTGTAGGCTTCATGCTAAAAAAAAAAATAGGGTCATGACAGGTCAACTATACAATCCTCTAGCGGGCTCCTCTGCGTAACTCAGGCCACAGAAATGCACCCAGTTACTGCCTTAAGCCCAACAATTTGTGGCTAAATTGGACTATGCCTTTTCAAAAGACTAGAATTAAAGACTAGAATTAAGGACTGCAAGTTAATTCGCTCTCTATCATGTCTTTCAGCAAGCCATAGCAATGCTGAAGCGCATTAGTGTGGCTATGGTTAATTACCATTTCTGGCAAAAATTTACATCTATCTTCTGCTTTGATTCTCTCCTCTGATTCAACCGCTGGCTGCCGAATCCTGTCATAGTCTTGTTGACTAAATTGAAGAGCCCTCTTCTACAAGAACTATTTTTTTCCATCTAGTCACTTAAAGACTTTTTAATCTGCTTTTTGTTCAGCTGAATGGATTTTAACTCAGCTGTTTCCAGTGATGTTTCTCAACAGGGGTTCTCAGTTAACTTTACATATTGTGATAGGCTCATGGAGAAGTAAATTGATTCTTTTCCACCAGGTCTTCATATTGATTCATGCCCTCTGAAATTATCCTAAACTCAGGATTTCCTTGATAATTTCAGATTATGCCCTTAACAAAAATGAGAACAGAGGAATCCCTAGCCCTCCCCACGCAAGGTCTGCAGCAAGGCTCAAGGGCAGAGCCTGATTAGCCAGGTATAAATAGTACGGAGATTTCCGGATACCAACGCCGCGGGAGGCTTCCTTTAAGACCTGCCTTATCAGATTTGAAGGCCCTGGGTATGCAACCATGGTTATGCTGTTGTCATTGAGGTTCTCGTAGAAACAACTTGAATCAAAAGCATGATGAATGCAAAAACCACCCCTGGAAGAGTCATAAATCACTTAAGCCCACCCCCTCCCCCCAAACCCAGCCAAACGAAAGCCACACATGCTGATCCACAAGTTCAACCAGATGAACCTTGCTTAAACCAAACCATGCTTCAGATTCTTCTGGATTTCATGTGGACTTGAAAGCTGCCCCCACTAATTTATTTAAAAATCTGCAGCTATCACGAGCCTGTTGCAATGATCTTCACCCCAGAGTCCTCCTGCAGGACTTGTATAGAGCAATGCATGCAACTAAAACACCAATCCTGTAGCCAGAAGGCTGCAATTCACCATTTGAAAGTCTGCCCATGAATCAAAAAAGATGGAAAACATGGAGTTTTGCCCTGCCGAGCTGCCAGCTTCCTTTTCGTTAGCAACTGTTAAGTCCAAGTTAAGTCAGTCGTCAATAGCCATAGAGGTTAAGTCACATTATAGCTGTAGATGTAACTGCTACTCTCATGTTACAAACCACCCATCCCTGTGCAAACACACCTGAGGAACTGCAGCCCTGACCTGTAGCTTTACATATTCTCATCCATAAAAAAGATGGATCTGTTCCAACTTAGAAACCCAAGTCTGGAAATCTCTTTTGATTTGCACGACAGGAATCAAGGCAAGGTGGTTAATGTTTGTCCTTCCCAACCTGCCCCCCAGGTACTGAGAACGTGTTAAGGGCCTGCTGTGTCCTGAATGTCCCATACCTCGTCTACACAAGCTCCATTGCTGCGGTGGGACCCAATACCTCCCATGAGCCCATGTTCAGGTAAGGCTAAGCAGATCTTCTCCATTAGTCTGGATTTCTGGTTAAACAGCAATGAAACTGCAACCAGATGGAGATTTTTGCTGTGGCTACACAGGAGAAGATGTGTCTTCCCCTTCCTGTCTTTTCCTTGTCTTTCTTGAAAACCCTTCTTTGCTGCTCTTGACTTTCAGGAATGACACCTCTTCCCAACCTAAACTCGACCAGAGGTGGATATCACTGATTGAGTTGATTGAGAGATGTGTGACCCAACTGCACCTCCAGGCTGTCCCCTGTATGTACACCGCTGCTCCTCTAAGCCCTAAAATCAGTTTCAGACAAGGTCTCAGATGCTTAAGGCTTGTGATATGGTCAAGCTTATCCTGCTGTTGGGTGAGAGCTTTTGCTCTCCCCTCACACTGAGTCAGTCCAAAGGGCAGGTGGTGCTCTACTGTCACCCACCCCCTCTCCCTCCTCTTTTCAGCTCCAGGGTGAATCGATAGCAAGCCTGTACCCAGCTCCTATTATCAAATGTGGTCAAAAGTATACAGACTATTTTAGCACTATCTCAGAGAAAAGCTAGTTGGCCACATAGTCTTAGGGGACAGATGCATTTGGTGTGAAGTTGCCTTGCAGAATTCATGTGTAGTTACACTCTTCTGTGACCTGGATCTCGCCTGTAAATTGAACCCTTCTGTCCCTCAAAATCCTTCTTCCTGGCAATATGCTTACGAGGGCTAACTCCTGGACTTTACGCTTTTGGGTATTATATTCAGCCTACCTCTTCTGTCTGGCTCCTATGAGACTGACCCACAGACCTAGAAGAAGCAGCAGAGCTTTAGAAAACCTCCCGCAGCAAAGGTGGGATTTGGAGTAATACAAAGACAGTGGTGAAAATTATGATTTGAAGGGGGGTTTTGCTTATAAATCTCTGATATCCAGAGCTGATTTTCACAGTCAGCTGACGCTCCTGCTCAGGATTCAGCATCTGGATACCTTTTGTATTCATGGGGCAACAGTACTTGCACCTTGAGAGCTGCACTGATATTTCTGAAGACCAGGAGCTGAAGTTTTAGGTTAAATTTGAAGTCAAGGAGAGATAGCTGCAGCGTGATACATACCATTGTAAGGCTCCTTGCTGATTTCAAGCACGGTTGTACCCATACAGACTGGTCAAGCCATGGAAACTTGTGGGCAAAGGGGAACTGGCTCAAAGTCAAGTTTTGTCTCTATAGGCAGCCAGTCTAGACACAGCTGGCTTCACTCATTTGGCTCTAGAAATTTGAGCCCAGCTAGAAAAGACTGCTTGAGACATAACTTCAAATGACCTGCAAGTCTAAATTTCATAATCACAAGTAAGCTAAGGCATAACCCAGTTGTTCCTGAAAAATGTTTAAGCACCTAAATCTGTAGAATAAATGTCTGGCTTATGAAAAACATCCATGAGAGCAACAAACCTCAATCCGCTTGGGACCATAAGCAGTAGAGGCTCTGTGTCACTGAAAGACTACAGAATTTGGTCATTAGCATATCTAAATAATTTCTAGAAATGAATATAGATACAGGTACATCCTTGTCAGTATTTTAGTCCTGTGACTTAAGAGCGAGATGTGAATAGATGTCTGAAAAATCTACCCACAGCCTTGCCTTTGGCTTGTAATGGTGGTACCAATGGGTGCAAGCAAAAACCCCTCTGGGCTGACGCTCACAGACCTACAGATGAGCACCCTCTGTCCACCAACCAAAATCTTTCCCCAGCATGAATGCAAATAAAACCACCACCTAGAGCCTTTAACTCATTTTGCAGAACACGCTCAGGTTCTCCCATGATGCTAGGAGAAAGCCTGAGAGAGCGGCCCTCGTTCTCCAGTGACTTTGATTTTAAACTAAGGGAATTACAGACTACTAAATGAGAGAAGGGTCAGACCCCCAGTAAAAAATTACACCACTTGCCTCAATAGGGAGCCCAGTGAAGACTGGAAGGCAAGGTAATACGGTTCCGTTTTCCAGACTGAAAGCACAGGTGATGCGGCTTCCTCCTCTTCTCATCTCCCCTGTCCCCACCCAATCTGTTCTGCTCTTCTCCCTCACAGTCCATGATCCCGCCTGCCTTCCTTTTTCTTTTTCTCTGTCCCCTTTTCTCCATCATTCCTTGTACAATTTTATTTAACTCACTTTTACGTGCTTGGGAATTGACACAGACAAAGCATGATTAGTCTCTGGACGGGGTGATGGGTGCAGGGATAATGCTCACACCTCAGCATCCGACAATAATAGAAAATGCCTCTGTCAGTCTCAATCCCTCTGAGACAGCCACTGCTGAGATACCTTCTGACAATGCTGCTCCGGTCTTATTAGCGTTCCGTTATCTGTGATCGTTTTGAAAAGCAAGAGCATTATGCTGAGCTCTTTGTTACTACCAGGCTTCAAAAGGGGTGGGGGAGGCAAACACGAGCAGAGCTCTGCAGCCCGGGAACGGCAGGCAGGTTTGCCCCTTTGTGAAGCTGCTGCTTTTCAAAAGCTTTGCAAGGCGAAAAAATAAATTTGGATTAAAAAAAAAGAAAGCAATTAAAACTAGAACTTCTAGATAACCCACCTAATTGTTTGGGGCCTCTCCCGGGCTTGCAACAAACCACACGCAATCCATCTTTTGTCTCGCTTGTTTTCTGGTTTGTCTCTCGCTCATCACCCGCAAACACAGGGAAGGGGAGGAGGGCTTTGTGCGAAAGGCCTTGGGTACGCGGGGAGGCTGTACTTCTGATGCTCCTAATTTATTTCTGTTGCCGTAGCACAAGAAGGCCCTGATCTCAGCTGGGATATCTGACACACAAGATACTAGACTGCCGAACAGGCAAGAGAAAGGCAACAGCATTATCCACGTTATACACATGGAGATCTGAGCACAGAAGAGAGTAAGCAAGTTGGCCAAGGTCAAACATGGAGCCCAAGGCAGAGCTTGCTCTCCCGAGCCCAGTGTTTGACAAAAAGACCTCTGCTGCAGATTTGCTGCAGGAACTTGTCACAGGCCACTTAACCCTTCCAAGGGGTGCATCGAGCCCCATCTGCAAAAGGAGCGTGGTAATTCCTCATTGCCCTGCGTGGGGGTACCACATGCCTGGCAAGGTCTGCTGTTTGCGTTGGGTGAATTTCTCTATGAGAGCAAAATATAGAGTCAATTAATTTAAAAATGTAAAGAAAGTCTCTTGCAGCACACAGAGGGCAAGAGAGCCTATCTATGCTAGTCACGGCAACAGGGGGGCAAGTGGCCACATGGTATTCATGGATGGTCCTTCCCAAAGCTTCAAACAAGGTTTCTTCACTCCCCACCTCCTCCAGAGCCCACTGAATCTGCTTAACCGAATCCTGCAATGGACTAATGTTGATCTAGAACCACTGGGACAAAACGCCAGCACCCTGGCGGGGAACAGAGCTGCTTTCTTGGTTCTCCTTGGATTTATTTCAGGGCCTGTGAGTCCAATTACACGTTAGATCCCATGGGCTTTCCTCCTTGCAGATGTAAGTTAGGAGGCTGAGGAGCATGTTGTTTTCCATAGTGGCAACCAAGTGCCCCCCCAGCATGGCTGCAAGCCCTGCTTGCCCATAATCATGGGTCCGCTTCTTTGCTCTTTCCATCGAGCTCAATTTGCCAGGGGAGATGAAGGAATAATTCCAGCACAAACCCACTGATTGCATGTTGTCCCAGAGATCACTAGCAGCTCTATCACGTCACTGGTAAATGTCTGCCAACTCTAATCAACCCCGTGAGAAAATTAAGCAGCAGCTTCTCCTTTTGGTTTATGGCTCATGAGAGACTTTACCTCTAATGAAAAAATGGAGTAGGATTGCTCTCATTTTCCTGCCCTCCATCTTCTTGTGCTCTTTCCACCCTGTTCAGCCACTTGTGAGTTGCTTAAAAAGGTAACTGCACTGCCTTCTAATTTGCCTGCCAGAATATTGTTTACTTCCATCATACTATGAGACAAAACCAAATCCAGCTCTCAGAAATCAAACCACCGCCCTCATGCAAACCTGCCTGTGAACACCTAGAACCATCTGGTATTTCTTGAGGCCTTATTTCTCACACACTGCAGCATGAATCTCGGGTTGATATAACTCGCAGCCAGTGGTAAGACCCCGGAGAGCAGGGATTGCAGAGTAAATCACGCTGTGACAAATGCCTCCAAGCCATGTGGTCTATTCCATGGTCACTCACCATCTCTCACAATCTATTTCAGAGGAAATGAGGACACCAAATACAGTGGGGAAGTGGAGTTGCCTTATGGGAAGACAAAGGCCATGGCAGAAAAACTTGTATTTGAAGCCAATGGAAAAAAGGTACAGAAGTCAATGGTAGCGCCCCTGGCACAGGCTGAGCGGAAGGAGAAGGATGGTTAGAAAGACCCCACAACTCATATCTAAGTGTGTACCCAACTGTTGCCTTGACTTGCCACATTACCAGAGCCTGATATTCCCACTTCTTCAGGAAGCGGCCAAACTCTCGCAAGATCAAAGGGTGCTGCCCTTTGAGCCTGTGCTTTATTCCACCAGGAGTGTGATTTTGAAAAGAGCTGTGTTAAATAGGGCCTAAAAACCCAGGTTCACCTAGTTCATACTGCATAAAGGTGTAATTTAAAAGTAATTTAAGAATAAAAAATACTAGTGTACCCAGAGTCAGTCACCTACCTAAGTTAGCTGGCTAGTGCTTTTAGACTGCCAGTACAGTCAGCAGACAGATAAGTTCTTCCAGAGGATGAAGCAGAATGTAAAAATGAGACTTGTGTCCAAAATCACTGCCCAGAGCATCTCTCTCTCCTGGTTACAGTTTGAGGCCAGCCAGCTTAGCTGGCTTCCTCTGGTACCTGATTTGGGTTGTTGCAAATACTCATACCTCACAACTGCAGAAGAGTTAATGCCTCTCCATCCAACGTGTCTCAGTGAGCACCCCATGACTGCAGGTGTGCTATGGAAAAAAAAAAAATAATAAAAAAAAATCATCAAATCGGGGACCTCCTTGCATTTTTAGTGACCCAAGCCAGGTCTTAAGTGTCACAGGATCACAGAATCACAGTATGGTCAGGGTTGGAAGGGACCTCTGGAGATCATCTAGTCCAACCCCCCCGCCAGAGCAGGGTCACCTACGACAGGTTGCACAGGATGGCGGAGTGAGCACCTCAGCTCCTCTAGCCCAGTATTCCCAGGTTTTGGTTTTATCTGGCAAACCCAACATCACTGTGGAAGATTTCATCTCTGAATCCATCACTCACTAACATCCCCCCCTGATTTTACAGCTGAGTAACGGTGGTAAACTCACAACCTGCATCATCCGTCCAAACGCAGTGTACGGGGAGAAAGCAATGTTTCTTCAAGAGCTGTATTTGTTTGCCAAAGCCAGGAATGGTGTGTTGAGCCACCTGGAGCCTGAAAACACGGAGCGCAATTACACATACGTGGGTGAGTGAACGACTGATCTCTTTGCATGCGGTGCTACCAGGCTGTTTTAGTCACAGGGGATTTTACAAGTCAGCTTAACCATAATCTTCCAAGACAGAGATGTGTATGGTGAATGAGCACTGATATTTTTATAACCACAGAACTTAGACTGGCTAAAAGCATTTTTAAAACAGTTGTTTACATTCTCTCATTTTTCCTAGGAAGGGTTTTCTTTTTTTTCTTCCCCTCAACATAGGGAGAATGCTGTTTAGGAGACTAGGAAAAAAAAGTCAGGGGAAAAAAGGATAGAGATCCAATCTTTCTTTTTCTAGGTAAATGTTTAAAGGGATGGGGGGAGGGGAGGGAGAGAAATTCAGGCAATATTTTTAAAATGTGTTTGGTTTGACAAGACACTTAATTTCTTCTTTATTAGAAGGAAAATTAATTAACACTACTTGTAAAATTCCTTGGAAAAAAAGCTGTACTACATAACTGATTTTAGCAAGCACAAGAAACCACTCAAAAAACCTACAGAAACAGCTTGTTGTGGTGTTGAATGCATTTCAGGGAAGTGTAACTCACCGTTAAATCATGGAGAGTTTTAGTTATTTCTGTGCAGCACACTTCTATGTCTTTTTCCAAAAGTGCAGATAACAGTAGTTTGAAAATGCTGTTAGAGAAGAATCAGACCTAGATAAATCAAGTGACTTCTTCAAAGGCTCACAGCAGAGCCAGGAATAAAACCCTTGAGCACTGCCTCCCATTCATCCTGCTCTCACTGCAAAACACTGCCCTTTCGCTTCACATGAACCAGCATCACAAGGCACATTAATTGTCCGGCTCAAAGGGGACACCAAAGGTTTAAAGGATCTCGGAGGTCTGGATTAACTACTCAGTCTCTCTACAGTACAGCAGAGAAACACGATGAGTGCTTTCCCTAATTCGCAGCACTGAAGCTGCCAGATCCAGTGTACTCATTCTACAGTAAACAGGAAAATTTAGCTCCTCCTGAATACCTGTTTCTCTCCCCCTCTTCTTTCTCCAGGGAACGTTGCATGGATGCATGTTCTTGCAGCAAGGAACTTGCAGCTGAAACCAGACTTACTTGCAGGACAAGTGTATTATCCTTACGATGACACCCCATCGAGAAAAGGTTTTCTGGTAAGGTATCAGCTGCTGTCCTCTATGGACCCCTCAGTGAGACTAGGCTCACACATCCCTTACTGGAAGATGTGGTTAATGATACAATTGCACAGGATAATCAAGGTCATCTTGTACCCTTTCTGGAAGCCACAGCCTTTCCTAAACTTGCCTTTACTGAACACGATAGTCACCACCTTCTCTTATGAGACAGACAAAGCCTCCAGGCATTTTGGGTACAAACCCCAAAAAATTCACCTGGAAAGAGAGCAAGCACAGAACTGCACAGTGGTTGAAAGCAGCTGCAGGGAACCTGGCACACCCCCAACTTCATGAAAAGAAGAACTAAGCAGCATGTTTGGGGTAAGGAGAGAGCTTATCGCACCAGCAAGCTTCATCTGAACTTCACAACATGCACAGCTTTTTGGCAGAAATTTTGCAAACACTGAGAAATCCTGGTACAGAGAAAGAGCAAAACTCTCTGGCTGCAAGTATATACCCTTGCCATGCCAACAACTCAGCTATTTTAAGTGTCATATGAAACACCAGGGTGTATGTGCCCACAGATGCAGGGCTTGCAGGCCTCTCTCTTTCCCACGGTGCCACCACTGCACGGGGACCACTCGCGGGAACGGGAGGGACAGGTTCAGATGAGAGATGGTGCACAGTGAACACCTTTTTGATAAAATTAGTTAACCAGTTTTGTTCCACAGCCTGCCCAGCCTCCATCTCTTTCCGTACTCAGCAAATGGACCTCTCCCTTGCCCGGGTCTCAGGCAGTTGGTGGAATGGCTGTACTCAGCTCATACACTCAAGTGATAATTTTGGTGAAGACAAGGAAAACCCAGAAAATTCTTGCTCTGTTTTGGTGATTAATAAAAAGAAAAAAGAATTCCCTTTTCCAGAGCTACCTTTTTCAAGATGCTTCCTGTTATTTTTAACATGGAATGGTATATCTGTTTTGAAATATTATCCCTGTAAAAATAAACTTCCAATCTCTTGCACTAACAATGTGTAGGCTGACTTACTTTCTAGTCGTATGGATGGATAGCTGATGCCTACAAGCTTAGAGGTAGAATTCATGTACTTTGGAACTCAAATTCTCTTACCTCACAGCACGCTAGCAGCAAAGCAAAACAAATTAAAGCCCACGTTCAGCTGCCACACTGGCAGACAGCAACTTCAGTGAAGGCCTTAAGGGCTGCGTTTATGCTAAATAATGTCTGAACTTCAGGAGGAAGAGGTCATTTCAACTCATTCCATGGCACTGGAACTACACAGTCCATCCAGGAGCAGTATTTCACAGGTGATATTTTCCTTACATAGATGGGGCAGGCGATTCCAGAAGATTCACAACAAAAACTGTGGTTTGTATCAGTTTATCAGCTCCTCCATTTCTAAGACATAGACAGAGACCAGTAAACTTACATTAAGCATGACAGAGATTTCAGTTTTCACTTCAGCTTGGAGGAACGGGCTATTTTTATAATACTTGTTCAAATCTAAAATTAATTCTGTTGGTATCACACTTCTGTGTTCTGTGAATACATAGCCATCTCTTGAGTTTTCCTACAGTAAAAGTGTACACGTGCACAAACAAAAGCCTATTTTAATTACAAGTGCCCTAATCCTCCTGGAAAAAGCAAGTTTCAGCATGGCATCCTCGATAGAAATGATCAAAATTTGCTTCTTTTTAGTCACAGTAATTACCCAGGAAGGAAAGCAAAGCAATATGGTGTAAGTTGCCAAGATAACTTCACTGAAATTCACACTCACAAGCGAATTCTTTGCAAAAGGGGATTACAAGTCAAAAGTAATTTGCTCTGCTAATTCATTAATAATTTCATACAGCAAATAAATTTGGGGGAAACTATTGCAACCTGCTCATAGAGAATTTGGGGAGGTGAAGTGTGTAAGATATCAGTTCCCTACTTTTTTTTTTTTTTACCATTTGTGCTGGGAGGTTTTCCTGACTTTTCTATTTCACTAAAAATTCTCTTTGCAGTCTGGTTGGGTTTTTTTTCTTTTTTTCTTTTTTTTTTTTTTTTGCCATTATTCAAATGGTAGATGACACCTTGCTAAGAATTTGACAAAGAAACAGACACCTGATTCCTCAAGCACATTGCCGGAGCACCGCCGCAGTACAACTTTGACCTCAACAGGTTTTCGTGCGTGAAACCTCGGGTTTATCCTGCCAAAAAAAGAGCCACTGGGTGGAGCTGCAAGTCTGCGAGACAGGTACCTTCCCCTCAGGAGTTCAAGTGTTGCAACCGCTTTTGCTGGAGCTGTTTTTTTTTTTTTTAAAAGAAGCCGGAGAGCTGCCAGCGAGCGGGGCTGGTGGCTGCGGGCCGGGCCGGGGGTGTCCGACCGCCCGGGGGTGTCCGACCGCCCGGGGCTGCGCTCCGCCGCCGGCGGCCCTGGGAGCTTTGGCCTTCCCTCGCCCGGCTGGACGCAGTCATCGGTTTATCTCCACATCGTCATGTCATCAGAGAGAGCGAGGAAATTATTTTTCCACTCAGGACTCATTAGAAAAGAATAAAAGTTTGCCTTCTATTTTTAAAAATAGAATTAAATATGGCCCTCTGGCCTTTGAGAAAACTTCCCTAAGTATAAGAGCTGATGCTTTCGGTCCCGTTCAGAGCCCTCGTGGGCTTTGTGGGATTTGGAGCAGCTGAAGGTATCAGATGGGACAGTTGTCAAGGCCCTATACTGTCCCAGAGATCAATGCTTTACAAGCTTTCCTGCTTTCAGAAACCTTGCTGGGAACCTCATCATGCTTTTGTTCCTGTCCTGCTCATCATCACCTATGATTTTGATGCTTATCAGGGGGCAGATGACACACAGGATAAGGAGCAGGGATTTTTAAAGGTAGTTAAGTGCAGGATGTCTCAAAAGGATCTGAATTAGTCGGCAGCTTAGCTTATTTTATACCCATCCCACCTCCCAGGCTTTGACAAAAGCAAGTAGAGGATTCCCTTTCCCCGCTCAGGGTAGAAGTGGGGGAAAAAGTTAGACAGCAAAGCCTCTGTGCTGTTTTCCAAAAAGATGAGTAAGCTTCCTTTGGCTGCCCTGCATTTTGGCTCCTCCAAGCTAATGCTGCTGCAGACTTCCTGTTAGATCCTTGATTTTATCAGATTATAACTTGTTTTCTCCTGGCAATGCTTTAATTCTTTCTACTGCACTGGGCTGTCATTGGCTTTTCTTTTCAGGGTCTCAGCCCTATTATGTAACAGCAGCAGCAAAAAAAGGAGAAAAAAAATGTATTTCAGATCTGTTTCTACTTCTGGAGAGGAGCCTTTGTGCACAATTACTCATCCAAGAGATTCAGCAGGTATAACTGCTTCCCCCAGGGGCTCCATTATATAATTGGATTTCAGCCATACAAATTAAATCCTATCTTACCCCTTAGTTAAGCCAGGCAGTAAGTATTTAATGCTAATATCCCTGACAACTATTGCAGGGAGAAGCAGAGATGAAGCACAGAGGAGACAGATGCATGCGTTCTCTACCGGAGGAGCAGGGAGGACGAGAAAGGAGTGCCTTGACAGAAAGACACCTGCTATATTTTAAACACGGCTAAACTTCCCCAGCACGAGCCACGGTGCCTGCTGGAGTTGCCGGCTGAACTGGAACGTGGTTCTCCCTTCGTTTTCCGTCCTCCAATGTTCCCATGTGTGCACTGAGCATTCACCCCCCCCAACACACACACACACACTTCAAAGCGCCACATGCCTAACCCTGTTTGAGTTTCTATGGAAGTCTCTGTTCTTGTGCAATGTCTGAAGGAAGCAAGTCTAGTAATATTAAAACTCAAGCCAAGCACACAAACAAGCAAAGAATCCCCAAATTAAAAAGAAAATCTCAACTGAGTTACTCATTCATCTGCATTTTCTGTTGTGTTCTGCCTTCTCCTGGCATGTTTCTTTTAGACAAAGCCCTCTGGGCAGAGACCATCTCTTTTGGTGTCTGGTACATCAGTCACATAGTTAGTACATAGTAATAAAGGAAAATAGATTCATGGTAGGAGTTAAACCAGTCAGTCTGGTACTGTAATTGGAACATAATCTCATATTGACAGTATTTAACACAGGATACGCAGGGAACAGATGGCAGCACGCCAGGCCCCAATCGTTCTGCAAATATTGGAAAGATATTTTCCAAGTCCAGCTCCTGAACCTCATCTCCGATGTCGGAAGCTTCGCTTCCCCAAACGGGCCTAGATCCGCTCACTAATCCTGGTTGAAGCCCAACACACCCACGTGCTCCTGACTTTGCAGACAAGCTGGCTAGCAGCGTTTCTCTTGCTAACTATCTTATAGGTGTTTAAGGAGAGATGTGAAAATGCATCAAGGGCAAAAGTGCTCCCAAAGCTCTTGAGACACTTGCGAGCCTCTCCCTTACGGACAGAGATCTTGCCTGCGACACAAGACATGAGCCCATCTGTGCTTTCAGGGTCAGGGGTATCCACCAGCGGATCACTCTGCTGCTCCTTTCATCTCTAAATCTTCAGTCGTACAATTAACTCAACGGGGGCATATTGGCAATAAAGAGTCGTTCCTTTCTCTAAGTCTAAAACGCTGAGCTAAAGCAGGTGAAAGGAGAGGAAGCACATTTATGTCCAAGACGCGTCTTACAGTGGAGTGCGACCGTGTCAGTGCAGACACAAACTCAGCTTTCCAAGGCTACTGCAGAAGTATACCATGCTTCTTATGTCTGCTACAGGAAGTTTAAATTGATTTTTCTCTATTTCAGCAATTAATTCCCATTAATCAACTTACTGTACAATGCTGCACTATAATTCACAAGTTTTATGTATTATATGAATAAAATTGCACATATATTTTTATGTGATTTTCATTTAATTGAATTCCAAGGAGATTTATCTGCTGGGTTATTAATAAATCTTAATATGGCCTATAACACTCAATTGATATTTAATTAACCTGCAATAACTGCCTTGTAAAATGTAAATTAAATGCTTTATTTTTCCAGGCATATAACCTTAAATCAAATTCTTCATTCTACCAGCAAAGCAAAAAGAGGAGTGGGGAAAAAACAAGATTGCAGGCAACCAAACCTTAGACTTGAAAATATTTGACATTTAAAGAAGTTCAAAATGGAAACCGGATCCACGCTTTGTAATCAGTTCTTCTCCCAAGGAAGTACTTTTCCACTGTCTCCCCACCTTTAAAGATCACAAGAATTTGGATGGATTTAGATGAAACATCAAAATCTCAGGAGACTTGAAGAGAAATGAGAGGCGCCCATTATTAATAATAAGGTTGCAAATTCCCATAAGTATTGTGGTATTTGGCATTTTTCTTAAAGTCTTGGCTCCTAGAGTCACAT